TTCAGAGATGTCCTTGGCTTTCCTTGCCATACTTGAAGGATCTCCATGGTGGTAGGTGTGGGACAAATGCAGCCCAAAATCTGTGACCAAGGGGAGACTGGGCTCCCTCGTTCAAATATCGAAGAAGGGAACTTCTTGGTGTGTTTGTGGCTGCCTGCATGCTGCCTGCTGTCTTTTCAGTGCCTGGGGGAATCCAGGTGTATTCTTACTTTGTCAGCAATAAATCTCATGGAGAAAAATGTGGCTGCCTCTATGCACCAAGCCCAGTATCAAGCCCAGTACTGCCTCATATGGAGCTGCCCGCTGCACTGGGCACAGAGGAAGCCTCCTCCTCGCTGTGGGAAGATGACAGGCTGGGGTCATGTCTGCAAAGGGTACTCCAGGCCGGGAAAAAGGCACCTCCTCGAAGTGCTGAGGGTCAAAAATCCAGCAGGGCACCTCTGGAAGAGACTGGTGAGGTCAGAGGGAGCTGAGGAGGGAAGGCAGAGGTGGCGACTACTGAGTGGGTCCAGGAGAGGGGTGGACTGTAGACTGCGGACTGCGTCAGATGGCATCTTAACAGTTGGAAAAACTTTATGGCAGAGGGAAAAAAGAGGCTGGGAACGAAGGAGTCAGAGGATTTGTCTCCAAACTTGGGTGAAGGAATGGCAGAAAAAGCGCAGGCAGGCAGCGAGGGGCAAAGCCTTTTCTCCGAACTCGTGTATTAAGGAGAGGGGCATCCAAAGGGAGAAGAAAACGCCTGCCTGTCGGGGAGGATGTAACACAGTGGGTGGCTGTGGCTGCTGTGGGAGAGCCAAATTGTTCCTAGCTGGAGACAAGAAGTTAAATTTGAGTCCCCATCTGGCCTGAGAACATATAGGGCAGGGACACAGTAGGATTAGATGTTCAGGAAAAGAGCCAGGAGGTGTGTGAATAGGCTTTCTCATAGAAACAGCAGGCGAAGCAGGGAGGGAAGCGGTGGGGGTGAGTAACGCCGTGCCTCGCTTGGCCAGGGAAGGGAGAAGCTGAAGCTTGTGGTGCGAAAGGCCAAAACTTTGGGCACCGGTTTGATCTACCACCTGTTCCCAGTTGAGAAGGTTTGATTCCATAGCCAGGGTGCTTTGCCCCTTTTAAAATAGGAAAATGAAGCCAGAAGTGCCGCATCTCCCCCTCTGGTCTGTGTTCATCCCGGCCCTGTTCCCCACGGCAGCATCCCAGCTTCTGTCCTTCATGTTGGGCTATTCAGGAGCCAGAGGGCAGGTGCAGGGTCAAAGCCCTGGCCCAGGTGTCCCCGAGGCGGAGGCTGGTGACAGGGTTGAGGCCGCGGGCTGGCACTGGGGGCATTCCCTTCCTGGGGTTAGGTGGGAGGAGGTGAATCCCTGACTGCGATCTTCCCCCGCCCCCATGTGTGAAACAGGTCTCACGCAAAACCAGGTAAACCACAAATATTAGTAGAAATAGGCTGGGTCTTGGAGCCACCTTGCATTAAAAGAATAAAAGCAAAGAATTAGCTAAGTCCTCTCCTGTCGGCTTCTCATGACACCCTCGATAAGCCCAGACTTAAGCATCATTGTACTTGATAATGTGCCCTGGACTGCAGCAAATTGGGACGTGCCAAGGACTGTGGCAGATCAAACACATTTCATTAAGTATGTGTTATTTTTTTCTCTCACATTTGACAGTGCGTGGAGCTCTGCTCCTCTCCAAGCTGAGGAGGCTGTGCTGCAGCATCTGAATGAACTGATTAGCCAGCTGGCAGGCCCTGCTGCAAGCAGGCGGCGGGGAGAAGGGGCCTCGCCTGGGCTTCAGAAGCTGAGAAAAGGCTGGCGGGAGGACCTGGTGCTTCCACCTCCCGATCCAACCTGGCAGGCGAGCTAAGCGAAGGGGGCAAAGTTGGGACAGGGAGGACCTCCGTGCCGGGGTGAGCTGTTGGTGAGCTGCAGAGCTGCTAGCTCGGCGCCGGCTGGCATGCAGGGCGTCTGTCTTCATTTCTGGGTTGCGCCGCCTTCTTTAAATGTGGGCTTAGAGGTTGCTATAAGCCTGTTAGGTGACTGGTTCCGC